CCCCCCCCCCCCCCCCCCCCCCCACTTTCCCTGTTGACTTTTACAGAAAAGAAGGGTGATGGCCTGGGTTAGGCTAGGTATTAAATGTTGTATAGAATTTCACATGGGACGCTGGGACCGCGTCCCAGCACGTGATCTTCGTTGCTTGGGATGGCCAGGTACTGGTCACTTTTTTTTTTTTTTTTTTTTAATGCTTGGGAAAATGCATTTTTTTTGGTTTGGCAGTTACGCTTCCGGTTCACATGCACTCGTCAGTTTCTCAGTTCTCTGGCGCATTTGCTTCGGAGCAGCCTTTGCTTGTGCCCTTACTGAATTCAGTTGGTTTTTAATACTTTTATTTTTATTCTTGCAAGGGAGGAGGCCCTTGCAGTGGAGTTTTTGAGTTGTTTTCATGGCCTTCTCGCTGATGTGTCCCATTGCTTTGGATTCGGTGTGTGTGTGTGTGTGTGTGTGTGTGTGTGTGTGTGTGTGTGTGTTGTCGTTTGAAATCGTTTGCAGCGTTGCACAGCACACAACGAAGGATGTTGGGCTACACGATGCTGGAGGCTTTTGCTCTCCTAGTGACAGGAGTTACTCAAGCATACCTCTTGAAGCGTCTGTTTGAGAAGAAGGGTTATGATCGTGTGTGACATGACCCCAGCAGGTTTTACAAAAAAAAAAACAACAACAACGATTGTGTGTGACTTGATTGACCTCGATGTTCAGAAGGGAGGAAGGGTCATGGAAGAGAAGAGGGAAAACAAGGAAAGACAAAAAGAGTGGGAAAAAGAAGACAAGAAAAAAAAGAGGTCTATTAGTGACAAGCGTTATGCAAGCAGAGCTCTTTAGCGACAGGAGTACGCAAGCTTACCTCTTGAAGCGTCTGTTATGTGGCAGTGCCAGCAACCTCTCATGTGTACACAGGAAGTATGTGTGTGTGTGTGTGTGTGTGTGTGTGTGTGTGTGTGTGTGTGGCTGTGTGTGTGTGTGTGTGGCTGTGTGTGTGTGTGCATGGCTGTGTGTGGGTATTTCCACACACAGGAAGGGCTCATTGATGGTGCTGTCGAGTGGCAGAAAGAAATGTCTGTTATGTACACTTTTGGCTGGGTATGGTAGCGCCAGAAGAGTGTGTGTGTGTGTGTGTGTCTCAGAAGAGTGTGTGTGTGTGTGTGTGTGTGTGTGTGTGTGTGTGTG